CTAGAAATTATTTCATACTTTTCACTGCGTTTTGTCAAACTTTTAGCTCTTACATGTATAGAGCCATTCACAGAAATGGATTAGAAATTATTTCATACTTTTCACTGAAGTTTTAATGTTTTTTGAAATCAGTTATATTTTTTTACAAAAAAATTTTTTTATTTCACACTTTTTAGTGTCAATATTTAAGTATTAGGCTTCATGCAACAATAACCAATAACCAACAAGAACCAACAATGAAAGGATGTATCGGGAATGGTAAAATCATCGCTGAGGTACATCAATGACTAGTAATTTTTTGTTATTAAAGTTGAATTTAATATAAAAAAAATAGTTAACTCGAATAATAAAAATTCAGCGTGGTTGAACCCCCCCAGCCTCTTCCTCGACCACCGCCGCCGCGTCCGAAGCCGCTAGCGCCGCGACCACGATGGACCCGTTGACCACGGCGGACGTTGGGACCACGATGGTCGCGGTGTTCGGACCGCCGTGATCGCCGCGAACACCTCGAATACCGTGGCCGCCGCGAACACCTCGAATACCGTGGCCGCCGCGAACACCGCGACCACCACGACCGCCGCGGGTTTCGCGACGCACCCGTCCAGCCTGCGTCCCTCGTGCTGCAAAAAGTAAATGCAGACAATGTAACATATAAGTACAATGTAATGAATTACTTAGGAGCGTTAGATAATGAAGAGGAGCACATTGATAACTACGTTCGGATAGAAATGTATAGGAAATACAAGGTAATGAAATGAAACCATGCTGGTCATTGATATTGGTTGAAATATCGTTTGCAGGGTTTGAATAATCAATTACAATTTTTTAAGTTAAATAATTAATAATTTAAACAAATATAATCAATAAATATTTTAAATAGATGCAATTAAAAAAATTATTTATTTAAATAATTAATTTAAACAAATATAATTCAATTAACCTAAGCAATACATATTTTAAATGATTTGATTAAAATTGAATTAACCAGTGTCATTCGCATGTCGTTTAATTGACGATCGAGTTGAGCGATTATATAATCGCAGATATTCAATTGACGATTACTGTAAGCAGAGTTAATTTAAAGCCATCTAATTGGCGTTTGATTCAATAGGAATTAATTCAACGTCATTTAATTGACGATTTGTTTATGTCTTTAATGTTAAAGGACATTTATATAAAATTCAATGGTTTTGAATTAATTCTTCTGAAATCAATTGCCAATTCAATGGCTTTGGATTAATTCCTCTGAAATCAATCGTCAAGCAAATGGCTATGAATTCATTCTGATGAAAATAATCGTTAAGTAAATGGGTTTCAATTAATTCTGTTTAAAGTAATCGTCGATTGAATATCTTCGATTAAAAATCGCTAAACTCGATCGTCAATTAAACGACATGCGAATGACTCTGGTTAATTCAATGTTAATCAAATAATTTTTAATTAAATTGGTTGTAATAATTTTGTAATCAATTAATTTTTAATCAAATTGGTTGTAATAAATTTTGCCCACATCTATTAATTAAATAGGTTGCAACTAACTGTCTATTAAGGACGGAGATTATCGAAGAAAGTAATTAATTAATCGCAACCCTGATCGTATTCATGTGACACTTACCTCGCTTTGGTGTTCCGTCGTTTCCGTCGTTGTTCGATCAGCGACGGCGGCGGCGGCGGCAGCGGGCGTATTTGTGACTGAGGGGGCTCCCCCGCTCGCCCTTATTGCAGCCACCTCTCTACTTAAACGCTGCAGCGTCAGATGCAGCGCAGCTAGCTCCGTCTGGTAGGGATCATCTGGAAGATAAAAAAACCGAAATATATGTATATGAACATACGTTTTCCTGCGTATTAATGTATGAACGATGTATGAAGTTGAAGTTATACTTACGATTTTCTACGGAATCCAGTTCCATTGGAGGTGTGACATCTGCGGGAAAAAACAGATGTAATCAAACCAAAGAACTTCTTTTATATTACTTAATTACATCCAATTGTGTACCGAACGGACACAAATTAACCTTACGATTATGGTGATTAAACTTACGAATTATTTCTTTTTTTTCGCTCATCGTCGAAGGAAAATAATATAAAATCTGTAACAAAGGTAAATATATGAAATGTTAAATATATATAAAATCTATAACAAAGGTAAATATATAAAATATAAAATGATATGAATAATCTGATGCAGATGGAACACGTAACCTTGAAGTTAATGCAAACATAAATAATTCCATCGTACCGTAGCAAGCGTTATACATCAGAAATGTCAGGGTGTACCAAAAGTGGCAGGTACATCCAATTGTTGCACGAAAGGAACTCATTGTATGTATAAAACAGGAATGCGTGAATTGCTTGTTTCGTACTTACCTCTTTAACCAGCCGCGTCTAACTCGGAACTGAGCAGGACCGCGTAGCGACGAAATGAAGTCAGTGGTACGTTACCTTACAGGATCGCACCAATTCCTCGGTATGTTTACATTCCTAATCGTATGTACACGCTATTTGTATTATGAAGAGCTCATACACGGTGTCGAAAATGTATCGGACAGCATACCACTGAATTATACTGGACGAGTCATGGAAAGAGGAAAGCGCGATCGTCTAGACATGTTAATAATAATAAAGATATCATTTCGTTCGTTAGTATAACATGTCTGGCATTATGCATAGAAGTAATGAAATTCCACTATTAGTCGGTCGATGAAATAGAAAGTTCTATAAAAATTGTTTTCTTATTCACGGGTACGATAATAACCCTTAAATTCATTTGTATAACTAGAGGGAAAAAAGTAGAGCGGAAATTTCGGAGTAGTATATACTAAAATATCGTAAAATGTGCATGTCGTAAATATTATCTCGGAAGTTCAACAATCGACCAGGAACTGCTCTATTTCGCACGGTTAACCCAGTACATATACGAATATATAACGGAGTAGATATGTGTTGGTAGGGCCGGTATGACATTATGCGGGGCCGAGTTCAAAAATTTTGCGGGGCCTGAATTCACATTCAAATCCTACAAGTAAATTTTGCAACAAGGAATTATTTATTTACAAATGATATATACTTTTTATTTAAGATAAATATTAAATGATAATACTTTGATGATTTATGTTACTCCTTTCAATGTAATCATCGTTACTAAAAAAATGTCTTGTATCTCAGCAGAAATTGCTTCCATTTGTTGTATCATCAGTTAAATCATTAATTTTCGTAGTCCGCGGGGCATTTTAAAACGCGGGGCTAGGTTCCAGCGAACGCGCAGAACTTACCTTGCGCCGGCCCTGGTTATTGGGATCGCCAATGTAAACAGTAGAGGCGACAGTAGGCAAATCCAGAAATCAATTAGTACAAAGCATTACCTCGAAAGTTTCTTCATCGTGTAATTGTGATAATGAACGTGATATTTCGTCATTATCCAATAATACAAACGAAGAGTGTTTGACAGGTAAAATTTGTTATACAATCATATTATTCTGTACTAATATAAAAAATATATTCCAAACATTAACAGTTAACAGTAAGGTGTCTAAGTATACCTACAGTGACAAATTGAAAAAAGGAATAGGCCTCGTCGGCTCTTAGCGACTAATCGAATCAATTGATAAATTGAAAAAAGAAATAGGGCTCGTCTGCATTCAGCGACTAATTGAATTAAGAAAAAAGTCGAAAAAATTGAAAAAAGGAGTAGGCCTTGAAAAATTGTACTTGTATAAAGTGACAAATTGTAATTGTAAAAAATTGACTAGAAATTACTATAGGAAAAAGAAAAAATTGAATAACTAAACGAAATTGTAGTTACATAAAAGAAAGTAGTAACAATGGGTAGGTCTACAAAAAGGGCATCACTTATGAGCGTGCAAATGAAACCGAGGATGCTAAAGAAATACGCCTCCGTAAAAATCGTGAAAGAAATGCGAAGCAGCGGCGTCAAGAATCTAATACCAAACGTGAATGTAGATTGTCGAAAATGCGGAAATATATGTCTTCCAGATTATCAAGCGAAACGGAGGAAAAGAAAAAGCACCGTATGAATTTAATTCGTAGTCGTTTAGTTAAAGAAACCGCCGCGGAACGATCACATCGCATCAATCAAATTCGGCTACGTTTAGCGAATGAATCTACCGAAGAAAGAGCACGTCGTATGGAAGTAATTCGGCGACGTATAGCAAATGAAACTATTGAAGAAAGGTCACGCCGCATCGAACTAATTCGGCGACGCATAGTAAATGAAAGTGCCATGGAACGGTCACGTCGTATCGGACTAATCCGTCGACGTTTAGCGAATGAAAGCGTTATGGAACGAACACGTCGCATCGAATTAATTCGGCGACGTTTAGCAAACGAAACCGTTGTCGAAAGGGCGCATCGCGTTGGATTAATTCGGATGCGCTTAGCAAACGAAAATGCCACTGAACGTGTGACGCCTCGCATCGAAGTGTCACGAAACGAGCGAATATTTACATGACCGCCGACTGTGGGAACCGAGTTCCCACGCAGCGAAACCGTTGCCGCGCAAACGTAAACACTGGCTGCCAAGGCCAGACAGCGACGGTAAACAACAGACTAGCGGAGATCCCGACACACCGACAAACCTATACCATTTCGGCATGACGGCCGAAATGAGTATATAAGGTGGCTCTCCGAATACCGAAATCAGATATCCCCGCGGTGTAGAACCGCACAAGACGCATGAAGAGTTTTCCCTTCTCGTGCGACTTGCATTCCGACCGAACCGACTGCGTGAAGAGTTCTCCCTTCTCGCGCAGCTCGCTCCTACCGCTTACAAGCGCATGAAGAGTTTTCCCTTCTCGTGCGACTTGCACTCCGACCGAACCGACTGCGTGAAGAGTTCTCCCTTCTCGCGCAGCTCGCTCCCGCCACACACCCGTGGCGTATTTTCCGTCTCGGACCGTCATCTTTGGACCAGAACCGACTGGGTAAGAATTCCCCTCCCTTTTCTCGCGTTGTTCGACGGCACGACGAACCATCCGCTCTCGCACGGATCACGGTCACCCGACGCCGGCCCGCCGCGTCACACGAATACACTATAGGTAAGCTGTATATAAACTCGAGACGACCCCACAGGAGGGAAATAAATACAGCATTAGAACCAGATCATTGTGTACCATCAATTCGTACGCCCTCTCGAAACAACATCCAACGATCCCCCCCTCCCCAGTAACCCTGGGCAGAACCGACTGGGTCGGCACGTCCACCGCCCCGCGGTGTACAGGATGTTACGTCCCAACTAGTTTGGGACTTTCTTTAGGGATTCTTGTCTTCGATTAAAGAGCTAAAGCTCACCTTATCTGTATTTAATTGGAAAAGAAGGAATTTTGGGATTCTATAATAATTGTCACTAATTTTGAGTATTAACAAATATAATTATGAAACAAAACTGAGTTTGGGATTACTTACAAGAAGAATAAAAATTATACAATTGAAAATGGTTTAACAATACCAATCGTTGATCTTATGCTATCGGCGGCGTTGTCAGGTTGTCCCGGGCTCGGCTGTGGCGAGGATCTGGTCTGGTTGTACACTCGCGACACGGGACTCTAATAATTGGCGAATAATAAACGTCGGACTTTCGTAGGTAACTCCGCGGTGACTCTATCTTTAGTGCGTATGTTCTCACTTACGCGAACTCTTTACTCAGCTGGAGATACGATACACGATACCTAAATGAGACTAACGCGAGAGATTAACCTGTCCACGACTACAGAACACACAAAAAGAAGCCGAAAGCCGTAAGAGCCGTAAGAGCGTAAGAGCATAAGAGCATCCGTGGTCGTGGCCACGGGTTTATATACCCCCAGATCCTCGCAAGGCACGATCGTAATTTCGAAATTTTAATTTCTACATTTCC